GCTTCTGTTCCTTAGGTCCCGACGGCATGACACTTACGGCACCGCACAGCCGCACGATAGAAACGCACATTAAGAACGATACGTGCGGGCAAAATAAAAATAAAAATAAAAGGATGCAAAGTAAAATAAAAGGCGCGGTGGCAGCACGATGCCTCTGCGATCAATCACAGGCAGCAAATAATCCACAGAAACAGTGAATTGAAAGGTCGAAAGAGAGAGGGAGAAAGAAAGGAGGCGGAGCAAAGCACCGCGGTACAAACAAAATATGTACACGTCGCACAATCAATGCAGATGAACCATACACGCAAACAAACACAAAGGAAAAGTCGCAGAATCCAAAATGACACCATTTAAAAAAAAAAAAGATTTCGCCCCTGGTGGCGACAGGGACATCGTCGTGACGTTCAGCGGTCATAAACACACACACAAAAAAAAAAAAAAAACAGAGACCGGAAAAGGGCAAAAAAGACATTGATGCAAGTAACTGCTTAACCGCATGAAAGTCACCGCACCCTCTCACTCCCAGCGGACCCACGCAAGACATACGAGAGCCGTGAGTCCTAATTGCCTTTAAACCATCGTCACAACGACGCGGCAGCGAAAAAGAGAGACATGCAGTTCACCATATCTCCCACCTACACAAATGAGCCCTCATATAAGCCCAGCCCAATGGTCAGTTCCTTGTGATCTGCCACATAACAGCCTTCCTATAGAGTTTCCACACGCACTCAGATAAGAAAGAAATGAAAGCAAATAGATACACACGACGCATAACCATCACTGGCGCAGTGTAAACACATGCAAAATCCTTTTCATTGCATCACCCCAAGCTTCTCAAGACCGTCACCAAAAAACAAAAATACAGAAAAAAATCACTCAGCCCCACACACCCATTCCTTCGCTCCCCCACATTGTTGGCCAAAAAGTTGTCTTTAATCCCTTTAAATACACTTTACCATGCTTTTTCCCTTAATCACTCAGCCCCACACACTCATTTCCTCGCTCTTGTACATTACTGCTTTTATTATCATGACCTTTCTCGGGCAGTTACGGTTACGATGAGCATCTTGACTGCGTGCCGCCCGTATGTCCGATTTAAACCCTTTATTCTTTTTTCGCGCCAAATCCACCCCTGCCCTCCGCTTTCTGTTGGGGTAGGCACGGCGCGGTGACGGCTCAAGGCGTGCCCGGAAAGCGGCGTCCCCACTCACACTGTCGTCTCCTCCGGAGAAACTGGATGGGACTCGATGCGCTTCTCTTTCACTTGCTCCTCGTCTTTGCCGTCGGGCAAACAGTAGTCTGGACTTTTGCGCTGCTCGCGCAGTGCTCGCCAGTTTCGGCTCTCCACGTACCACAAAACAATGCTGTACACAGTGATTGCAAGCACCACGCACAGCAACAGCAGCAAGATCGCCGCGTGCCCCCTCACCCCGTCGTCGCCCGGCGCAAGATGGTTTGCCGCGTTGACAATACACAGCGCCGCAAGGAGCACAAAGCCCGCAGTGTGCATCACCGTCAGGAAGGCCGAGCGCATCATGTTCGTGAAGGCAACCACGCCCGCACCCGCAAGCAGCACAGCAGCCATGCAGAAGTACTGGACGTGGCAGCCTCCCACGGGCGGGTGCACAGCCGCAATCAGGCCCACCACACACAGCACCGACAGCTGGAACACGCACATATACGCTTTTCCGTCTCTTACGTGCGAAAAGATGCTGCCGTACATCCGCTGCTGCGCCGCGGGGTACCAATACCCGACGGGGTACAACCAGCGCAGTGGGAACGGCTTATTCGAAAACCCCTCGTATTCCTTGAACTCCGCGTCACAGCGGCACGAAACAAAGTAGCACACGCCAGCAGGGAACGCCACACCGTATAGCATCCCAACGACACCAATCACGTAGTGTTTCACCTGTGCGTCGGACATCGTCAACAAAAAGGCGGAAAACACACAAATGCCAGGGTGCATCACGTACGCCACAAGGTACGTCAGGCTCGGGAAGCGCATCGCCGCCCACGCACTCGCAGCGTCCACGCCGCGCCACCGCTGGAAGGCGGCCGTCACACCGTAGTGCACGCACCCAAACACAGCGGCGAGCAGCGCATTGCCCACCACCATCCACAGCGGGTCAAGGGCAGCAAACACCGACAGGAAGTACGGCAGCAAAGCCGTGCTCGCACGCTCCCAAGCGGGTGCACATGACATCTTCGCGAACACGCCGAGCGCCTGCATCTCCAGGATGGAGCCCAGCCAGCCGCCAGCGGCGATAGCAGCAACGGCTGTGCTGGCACCAACACCGTTCAATACCAAGAGTGCCCGCGACAGCCCCACCGGCGTGTTGGAATTGATGGTGAACGCCCCTTCCAGCACACCGGTGCATCCGCCGTGCAGCGCATGTGGAGTGTACGCAAGAAGAATCTTTTCGTCCATCCCAATAAAGTATTTGTCGTCTTTGGGTACAGTGACCTCCAGCACACCCCGCGGGTTCGTCCTGTTGCGCTCCCATGTCGAGTTGCGTAGCTTCTCTCCCCATGGCCCACTGTAGCCGTTCGGCTGCATCAACGACGCGAGCGCAAATGTCAAGTACGGGCGGAGATCAGCGTCGCGTTCCCATCGGAACGGCGGAGGCAACGCCACCGTCAGCTTCTTCGGCGTGGCGCCACTCAAGCGAATGTCTTCCAATGTCAAACCGCGGCCCGGTAGTATTGACACATCCAGCGCCGGGCATGTCACGGTGCGGTTGCACCCGTCCACGTGCGGCAGGTACACCGGCAGGCAGTCGCGCCCGTACCCGCCCTCAACACAGCGGCAGTGGCACGACCCCGGCATCGTCCTCGTCGCAGCAGCAAAGCAGTTCACACGGGCGTCACATGCGCCGCACGCCACGGTGCGTGTATATCCCGAGATGCCAACGGACTCATACTCTGCAGCATTCAGTGTCTGCCCATTGTGCCTTACGCAACCAACAACGAAATCCCCACCGGGGCCCTCCACCGCAATGGTGCCGTTCATCACATGAGAACCACCGCCAATGTTTCCGTAAAGCGCAAACGTGCTCTTTAAAAAGGTTATTTCTGACGGCTGTGACGGTAAAGACAAAAGCCTTTGTCTGCCGCCAATCTCGTTCCCGCGCACTGACAGCCACGACCCGGACGCAAACGACGCCGACCCCCGCAGCACCAGCAACGCGTCATCGGTCAGCACACCGGTGTTGTCGTTAATAACGACGGCGGATGCGTTCAACGAGAGGCCTTTATAAAACAGCAAACCGCGGCCCGCGTAAACACCACTCTCCGACACGCGCAGCACAGCACCCCCCGACAGCACGGTCCGCCCACCCACGTAAAAAGCATAGTCGCCACCAAAAGAGGCGGTCTCCAGTGAAATGCCGCTGCTATCCAGCCGAAGCGCGGCCCCATCCACAATCACCGTCCGTCCACCACTTTTGACCGCCAGAAAGCCAACACCATGCATCAATAGGGTGGAATTTACAAGCTGTAGGCCGGATAGTACCAGCGCCGGAGTGTACACCGCGGCCTGAGAGCCCAGAAGATACTCAAGCGGCGTCGACTCAGTGGTGATAAGCAGGGATTCGGTCATGGTCAACATAGACTTCGCGGGGAAGGTGCCGGTCAGCACAATCACGCCGTTGAACGCCTCCACACTGCAGATCGAAAGCTCCAGCTGCAACTCCGACGACGGCCATGCGCGAGAAGCGCCTCCACCGCCCATCACGTACAGCACGGCGCCGTTCAGCAGCGACACGTTCTGCACAAAGATCCGCACGCCGTCCCGCGCCATCCACGGCACGTAGAGCACCGGACTCACGCCGTCCAGCACAACGTGGCGCAGCGTCACCTCGTTCGCGCCGGCAGGCACAACAAAAGTGGACTGCACCACTGTATCCTCAATCTCGAACGCAGACGCAATAAACCCGGCAGAGGCTGGCAACGCGGGAGCTCCCACAGGCACGCACGCCTCGCCGTACCCGCCGCTGCCGCACGCGCAAAAGCACACACCGTTCCTCATGCTCGCCGACGCCGTCCCGGGCGCGTAGCAGTGCGTGTCCCTGTCGCAGGCGTCGCACCCAGCAACGTCGATGCTCCCAGCGTCGCCAAAACCAGCCGCTGCGTAATCCTCCGCCGTCGACAGGACACGTCCACCAGCGTCGTTGCACACCACCCTCAAATGCGCCCCAGCCGTGAGTGACAGGCTCGCCGACAGCATCCGAGACAGCAGCGCTCGGTTGCGCACAAAGCTCAGCGTGCTCCCAACAGCGGTCACGGTGCCAGCGGCGTGGAGCATCTCCCTCGAGACGCCGTCGTGCACGTTGCCCTTCGCCAGCAGCATCGACCCGTCGGCCAGGCTCACCGTCGAATAAAACGCCACCGCGTAGTCCTCCGTCGACGAAAAGTCGTTCCGCACAAGCGCCACAGCAGAGCCCGACACGCTCACAGCCCCACGCACAGACACCGCATGCTTGCACAGCAGGAAGTCGCTGTCAAAAAACGCCACCACGGAGCCGCCGCTGGCCGCAACACCGCCCTCCACAGACACGCACAGCCCCAGCGCCGTCTGCACCAACAGCCCGTCCACGTACAGCGCACCACGCGACGACAGCGCCACGCCGCGAACCGCCAAAACGCCAACAGCGTCGCGGAACACCGCCGCCACGTGCGTGCGCGCGATGGTCAGCACGCTCCCCGTCAAACTCACGTTGTGCAACACGAGGCACGCGGACGCGTCGCCAAGATCGTAGGCGCCGCGGTACGCAACGCGCTTCTCTGCAATCAGCACCGAGTCCACCACAGTGACGCGCGAGCCCGGCGGAAATCGGTTCGCCACCACCACGCCGCCGCCAGAGCGCGACTCAAGCCCGCTGATCAACACATCGGCGCGCTGGCCAGCAGGCGGGTCGGACCGCCACCCAACAACGTACAGGCTCGCTCCGTCCAAAAATGTGCAGTTCGCCAGTGTCACGTTGCGCACGCTCCCTGTCATTGACTCCATTTCCACCACAAAGTCCGCCGCAAAGGTCACACCAACGTAGCACACCACCGACTGCCGATGCCCTGCAACCACATCCCACGTCACATTCATGTTCCGCACACAAGGATCATCGTCATGGCTCCTAGGAACATAGACGGGCAGGCAGTGGTCGCCGTGTCCGCCCTCCGCGCACGTGCAGGTGCAGCCATCACTCGAGACCGTCGTCGTGTACGCGGGGAAGCAAGATGACGCGAGGATGCATTGGTCGCTGCACCTCTCCTCCTTTACAGCAAAAGTATTGGAAACCTTGTCGCGCAATTTTTCCGCCGAGCCTGCCGGTTTGTTGCAAGCAAGGATGAGGGTTGAGGTATTACTCCCCTCAAAGCGGCCGTTTGGCTTGAACACCACGGCAGCAGCTTCGGCACCTCCCGTGACAGGCAAGACACTGTTACCAGACACCACCAGAAGAGACCTCTCTGTCTTGACAGATCCAAAGCGGCCCACAACACTCGCGTTGTCGTATGCGGCATTCTTGCTGATAAATACCCAAGAATCCATTAGCTCCATCGCCTCTTCAACGTGGAAGACAGAGATCACCACAAGACCAACGTTGCGTTCCAGCAACAAGGTAGACTTGCTCTTTACCTCAAGGGTGTCCAGATGCACAAATGCCTCCAAAACGCCGGAGACAAAGCTCCGCTCCACGCTGAACACCGAGTTGTTATGCACCCGCACCGCCGTAAAACTGTCGTCACTGGACACACGAAAAGCTGCGCGACCACCACCAGAAACGTGGAACGAGTTGTCCGTCATCGCAAAAGCAGAGTACGACTGCACGGCCATGCCGCCCTTCGCGACGTACACAACGACAGAATCTGATCCACCGGTGTGGAAGTTGTTGTCCATGAGAATAAGAGCAGAATGGCCGCTGAGCACCAAGTCCCTCGTCACAACGCAAGACGGGTAGTGGAACGCCACACCGGGCACAGGAATGGCCCTCGTCACGTTGAAGTGGTTCCCGCTGATGGTGATGTTCGTGCGCGGTGGGAACGCACCGGCAGGACTCAGCACGGCATCCTCAAAGCTGTTGCGGGTAACCACAATGCTCAGCGACCCTACCCTTACATTTGCGGCACCCTCAAGAACAAGCGCGGCTCCCCGCTCCCATTTGCACCCGTCAAATATGACGCTCACAGCGTCGCCGACCATTGCTCCAACGGCCACCGTGAACCGCATGAAGGTCCCGCTGAACGTCACGTTGCGGTAGCACAGCCACGACAGCCCGCCACCCACCGTCTGCGTCACCTCGGGGTACACCATGTCGCTGATGCACCTGCCTTGGGCAGGTGTGGCCGGTAACAACGAAACGGGCAGCGAGAGCGCAAGACGCGACGGGGCGCACACATCGCCGTATCCTTCAGCAGCGCACTGGCACTTGCAGCCACTGATCGAAATTGTCAGCGGAGCAAAGCAACCACCAATTTTGTCGCACTCTCCGCATTTTACTGCCGTCGTCACCCCGGTGATATAAGCTTTACGCATTTCCTCGACGGTTGACTCCATTTCCTCTCCAATCATCAAGCATCCCGCAAAAAACTTGTGGCTGTTGTTCTCTTCCTTCAACATAGATTTTTTCAGGCCCATGGCACGCATCTTGCAGCCTGTCAGCGTCAGCGCGCTGCTGTTGTCAATATCCACGGCGTATAAAGCTGAGGTACGAAGCATATCAGCTGTCGGAACATCGTTTTCACGCAACTCCACCCAGCTCGACTGGCGCACGATCCATTCACCGTACAAGTAGACGCCAAACCTCACCGCACCGCGGTTCCCCACCATGCGAAAGACGCTGAATTCCTCCACTGTAATGATTTTGCTGTCAAGGATGCTCTCTCCTGAAAGTACCACGTTATTGAGTAACGCTAGTGCGGAGCGATTGGCCACCCTCGTCTTGCCATTCATGTCCAAAATGGCCTTTGCCCCTGCAAGGGTACAGTTCTGCACGTAAAGCGCGCTTCCATCCAGCAGCGTCAACGATTCCTCCACCGCCAAGCAGGACCCACTGGGAGTAAAGCCTACTACCCTTCGTGGTCGGCGAATCTCGACATTACTCAGCAGCAGTGAAGAGGAGCCGGCGAGCAGGAAATCCTTCAATGCGACAACAGCAAACCTGTTGGAGTACCGATAGGGTGTAAAGAAAAGGGAAATCTGCTCGGCGTCGATCTCATTGATGACAATATCTGTGCCACGTGGAAAGGCGTTCGAAAATGACACGCCGGAAGACTGCATCACCACCCTCCTCACGCGAATCAGCACGCCAGCAGACTCCACCGCGTCGCGGCCACCCACAAAATGCACCGCAGCCCCGTCAAGAAACGTGCACCCAAAAAAAGTGATGTTTATGGGGAGGTGCAGTGGCATTCGCATGAGAGAAAACTTCAGCGCAGCGCCCACGCCACTAAATGTGACGTTGGTGTAGCAGTGGTGCGTCTTCCACATCTCAATTGAGATGTTTTTCAGCGTCTGGTCCACCACGCAGCTCCTGTTCACGTCCACATCCCTCTGTGTCCGAGGCACCGCGGCAACACTGACCAACTTAGCCTCAGGCGCGCGGCATGCCGTGTCGCCGCCCTTGCAGGCCCCGCAACCAATCACAGACGCTTTCTTGAATGCATCTTCGTAATTCACCTCAGCACTGTTCTTCTTGTTGCAACCCGCCAGCAATCTTGCCGGTGAATGCACTTTCGCCTTGACCCCCATCACTGCCTCCGCGGAACCCTCCAAGACGTTGTGGGAGAAAACGGCAACGCTGCCATCATCCACAAGATCAAGTGCCTCAGTATTGCGTCGGTATACGTAGTAGAGCAAGGCATCCCTCACTCTGTTCTGCTCCACACGCAGCTCCGCCCCACCGGAAATAGTGAGGCTATCGCCGTGGTAAAGCAGCGCAGTTTTAGAAGAACCCTCTGGGCCCGTCATGGTGTTCCGCGTCACCTCTAGGAGAGCCGACGACGTCAATTTGCATGGGTAGGTTAAAGCAACCCCTCTTCCGGAAATCATATGCGAGTCTATGACGCGAAAGCGTCCCCCAGAAACAATTTGAACGGTTTTGAATGCAATCGCGGAACTCTCATGAAACTGCGGCACTGCCGCCTCCAGCCGGCATCCCTGCACGACAACCTCGCTCGCGTTCAGGATAAAGCCATCCGTTATAGCAATGGCCTCATTTGTCGCAATAACGGCGGTGCGATGCAGCAGAATCGATGCATTCACACCAAAGTCTGCCTCAAAAAATATGCCCAAGGGACCCGCTGTATCCACAACACTGTCCACCACACGTATCCGAGACCCCAGACCAAACACACCGTCAAAAACAACACTGCCCTCGTCCACCGTGGAATCAGTCATACTCATGTGTACGGCGTATTCGCTGTTCCCTGTTATTCGCAAGCCCGACAGCCTGCACTGCAGCAGTGTGATGTTGATCGTCCGCGTTGCCGGCCTGAAATCGCTCATGTCGATGACGAGCGGAGAAGTGAAATGCAGACCCACAAAGCACAGGCCAGAAACACCGGGCGTGGGGGCCGCCACCTCATTCACTGTGCCACCACGCACGCATGGTATCTCTGCAGGGGCCACAGGAAGCGGTGGTCGTGGCCCAAGTTTCATCGGGATCTCCGCCGGCAGGCAAGAAACACCGTGGCTGTCAGCAGCGCATTTGTATCCACATTTATTTCCAGTGCTCTTTATCGCCTTCGAAGCAAAGCCTTCAGCAATCCACGTGCACTCACCACAACCGTACGACGTCACGTTCATTCTCATGGCGATACGACCGTAATCCTCCAGAGGCATTCCATTCAGATTGTTGCACGAAACGTACACCGTCGGCCTCATCGTCTCTGGTGGAGTAGAGAACGAAAAGTAATTCCACATGGATGCGCCACTGTACGCGCCCGGGACAGGCAAAAAGTTGTTTCGAAGCACCGACCAGGTGCTTCCGGTTTCAAACTCAACTTGATTCAAAAGAAAAACACTCTTGACTCGAAAGTCGTTGTCCCGTTGCACCAACCAGCTCCCCTTGTTTACGGTCAAAGACTGCATGCTAATTACGGATTCGCTCGGACCAAACTTGTTCCCGGAAATCTGCAAAACGCTTCCCCCTGTTATTGTGATACTGTCACATTGCCACGCATTGCCGAGCCGTTCGATCGTCCTCACCCGCCACGAATTGTTCTGGATGACAAAGACGGAGCCGCCACCCACGGTCAGTTTGGATGCAATGAATCCCATCACATGGAGGTGGGCGTTCACAGCACAGTTGTCCATGTAGAACGAACTTTTCTTGTCCAGCAAAAGGTCACGCTCCACGAGGATCGCAGCGCACGAACCCCCGCTACACATGAACGTCGACCGCGTTACGACAAACTGCGACGACAGAAGCCGGACGCCGTCCAGGACAAGTGCAGAGCCGTACCGGGATTCATTGTGGCCAGAGGTCGTCGGCACGTACAGCGAGCCGTTGACCGTCGCACGCAGCGTTGAGTCTGCCAGGAGTACCTTTGAATTAGCCGGCAGTCTGTGCTGCAGCACAATCGTGCCCTCCAGCGACGTCACATTCTCCATTTTCACAATAACGCCAGGCATCAGTCGCGCGGTGTCTTCTTCAACCCCTTTGATCCGCAGCTGCGCGCCGCCCTCGAGCAGGCAGTGGCGCAGCGTCACTTTCAGCGCGTCAGCAAACACGTCCATCGAGCGCAGGTCCACCGTCACAGTGATCGGCCCGCTGAAAACAACAGCCTCAAGACACAGCGTTGCCTGCCCGCCGCCGATCGTCACGGACTCCGTCAACGCAACGCCACTCACGCAACCCTGCGCACCGCCAGCCTTCGCAACAGGAACGCCAGGCGGCAAGCACGCAGCACCAACGCCACCGCGAGCGCATCGGCAAGAGCACTCAGAGAAAGATGTCGTCAGCGCACCGAAGCAGTTCTGTGTCTTGTCACAGCCGTCACACGGCACCACGTTCACGGAGGGCAGGCCGGCGGAACGGTACTCAACGGCACTTCTAAGCAACTTGCCATCGGCACGGTTGCATTGCACGGACACAACACCACCATTTGTCATCACCGGGCCGGCAACAAGCGTTTTTCCGGTCACGGCGCAGCGAGCAACCGACACAACTCCACCGCTGCTCACCGTCACCGACGAAAGCAACGCCGCAGAAGACCTGTCATTCAGAGCCCACACACGGTACAGCTCCAGCCAACCGCCATCCCCAATCTTCCCGCCGCTGGCAGTCACCACAGGAGCCTCCACACGCCCGACAACATCCACAAAACGTAGCACGGAGAGAGAAACGGTAAGGCGATTCCCGAATGCAAATCCGCCGCCGCTGCTCTTGACTGACGCATTCGTCACGGAAAACACAGACTTATCCTCCAAACTGAGACCTGACAAAGGCGGCACGTACATCGCGTATGTACGCGAGCCATGCAATGCCTCCAGCGACACGCCGTCAAGCACGACCATGCTCGACTTCAGCTGCACGCCACCCGCAACGTGCATCGCTGCCCCACCATCTGTGGACGTCCTCAAAATTGTGTTGATCACATACAGCTTTGAATGTAATAGCAATGTCGCGTACAGCACAAGCGGCGAGGCGGGGGCATCGCTCATTCCGCGAATCGGGGTATATTTCACAGGTCCCGTCACCGCAATCGTCGAGTCACAAATCGTCACATTTGTTTGCTCTGGCAGCTTGTGCGCAAACACCAGTGAACAGAACTCCCCATTCAGGCCGCTCACGTTCATCACAAGACTGTGGTCACTCACTGGTGCACTGCGGTAACCCAGCACGTAAATCTGCGAACCCTCCTGGCACACACAATCCTTCAGGTCGATGCGCAGAGGGCCGGGAAGCATCGCCTCCATGTCAAACACCACTGGCACCCCGCCCGTGATCACCACACCGTCCAGCAGCACACTGTCCACGGCCCGGCCCACGGTGATGGGCTTGCTGATCCTGCCGCCACGGAGTCGAAACGGCATGGCGTGTCCCACAGGGATCACACTTGACAGGACAATAAACACCACCACGGCAAAAAGCAATACATAAACGGGGCATCGAGGACCGTAGCAGGCGTTACAGGGCAAGAATCTCCCTTTCCCTCGCATAGATTTTGCTAGTGCACACACCCCTTCTCGTTTCCTTGAGGTATTGGTCAGTTGGTGACCTTTATTTTCTTCTACACATATTTCTCTTGCCTTCATCCCAAGCATTCCAAAATACTAAATCAATTTATTCCTCCCTTCCTTCGCACTGTGCCTATTTAGCAACTTCAAGCAAAATATTAAATCGATTCTTGTCGCTTATGTGTATATCTTTGTTTGTTTGTTTGTTTGTTTTGGTTTTGGGCTTTTGGTTTTTTCTCCCCTTTTTTATCGCTGGTGTTGATTTTGTTTTTTTTTGTTTTGTTTTGTTTTGTTTTGTTTTTTTTCTTTTTTTGTTTGTAGTTGTTATTTCTGTTGTTATTTATGTTGTAGTTGTTGTAGTTGTTGTTGTTGTTGTAGTTGTTGTAGTTGTTGTAGTTGTTGTAGTTGTTGTAGTTGTTGTAGTTGTTGTAGTTGTTGTAGTTGTTGTAGTTGTTGTAGTTGTTGCAGATAATAATATTAGACCTTCTAAAGAAAGAGAAGACCGGTAGGCAAATAATAATAATAATAAATAATAATAATACACATGTAACCACAATAATAATAAATAAAAAATAATAATAAATTTCATTAAATTCCCTCCGCTCCGCCCCAATGGCATCCGCAATCAAATATATATAAATATATAAATATAGAGAGAGAGGGACGAGTGGGGACGGGGTACAAAAAAAAAGAGTAAACATGCGTCATTGCCGCTACCACCGTCTGCCCGTTTCACCTACAGAGGGAGGAAAGACAAAAAGAAGAAAAGGAGTTAAACGGCCCACGTGTTGTACGGGAAGGAGAAGGAGGAGGAGGGGACCGCTGGTGGGTTCCCCCGTTACTCATCGCCGTAGAGGTCCTCCTTCGTCAGGGTGTAATGTTTCTTCCTTTTGGTGTCGCGTGGCTGCGGCCTTCTCGTTTTTTTCTTCATTTTTTCCAGTTTTTGCTGCACCGCCTCGTCCTCGTCCTCGTCATTATCGGCAGCGGCAGAGGCAACGATACTTCCCTTCTTCTCCTTCTTTTTCTTCTTGAGACGCTGTAGCAGCTGCTTCTTCTCCTGTTGCCGCAACCGACGCAAATTGCGGCGCTCCTCCACAACGGCGTGTCGTGTTTCCCCCACTTCTGCAACTTCCCGCTCAATGCGGCGCCGCAGATCCCCGCGTGTCAACTCCTCGTACCCATCGGGGTTGGCTGCCTGCCGCAACGCCATCTCGCCTTCCGTGAACATAACACGCACCGAGTGCACGGTTCGCCGCGCCACGGAGTAATTCCTGCAGCATTCCGCCAGCTGAAGGAGAATAGCACGTGTTTCCGCATCCGCTGCAGCATGAGCCGCGCTCTCTTCATGGCCGCTGCAGCTGCCACTTTTATCCTCGTTGCGGCATCGCTTCCGTTTGTTTAATGCCCCTACAGACGTTAACTGGCCGTCCTTCTGCTGATGCTGTTCGCGTCGACGGCTGGACAGCATGCCCCCCGCCAGGGGAGAGATGAAGTAATCCAGCACACGCTTCTCCACGCAATTCCCTCGACTCATTGCGTGGAGCGCGATGCGATCGCTGAGGGCCACAAACAGTGCAGTTGAGAGTGCCGCACGGCACAGCTCGTCAAATAGGACGTCACAGACATGCATGGAGAGACCTACGGCGGTGGGCTCCGGCAAAAGCTGCCCCTGACACACGTAACACGCCTCGTCGAGGGCACGGCAGAGGGGGTCATGTGTCAATACATCGGCGTCGCCGTGGAATGTGCCGTCCTCGTC